GGGTGTCTTTTTTTTTAGGTTTTTTTTTTTTTTTTTTTTTTTGCCATGGGGCACAGGTGCTTGCAAGAGAGAGAGAGACAGAGAGGGATAGTGAGCAATTACTCCCTCAGGAGGGAGGTCCATGTTGCAATCCCTTCTCCTCTAGTCTCCTCTCTGGATTTTGGGCAGGCACGTACATGCACCTGGCGTGGTTTTCATGCTGCTGGATCTGGGACTCGAACTGCAGTTGGCCATGTATGAATCCAGTGCCCTAACCACTATGGCACCTGCTGACCCCAGCACCAGATTTTTTTTTTTTTTAATAGATAGATTTTTGCTATAGGACACGTGCGCTCACCAGAGAGACAGAGAAACAGAAAGTGAGAAATCACCCCCAGGGAGCATGGTCACACCACAATCCCTTCTCCTCCATTCTCCTCTCGGAATTTAGCATGCATGCATGCACACGTGCCCTGCGTGAGTTTCAAGGTGCCAGGTCCAGAATTCGAACCATGTTCAACCATGTGGGCATCCAGTGCTTTCCCCACCAAGCCACCTGCTGGTCCCAGCATTCCCGTTTTACAGATGATGAAACTGAGGATTAGTGAAGGCGAAGAACTTGCTTAAGCTACGTAGTGCTAAGTCTCCAGTTCTCCAACTTGAGCATGATCAGAATTACCCGGAGGGCTTGTTGGAAGATTTGTGGGGCCGTCACGGGCAGTGGGAGCCGAGGCGGCTAGATCTCACATGGCTGCCCAGTGTGAGGTCTGGACCCAACGAGATCTCACATGGCTGCACAGTGTGAGTCCTGGACCCAGCGGTTTGAAAACACGCTAGGTGCGTGTGCACGCCCCAGATCCCCGACAGAGGGAGACAGAGGAGAAGAGATTGTAATGTGATCACGCCCTGTAGGGGGTGCTCTTCTTCTCTCTCTCTCTCTCTCTCTCTCTCTCTCTCTGGAAAGCACAGGTGCCCTCTGGCAAATTTAAAAAAGGCAGAGAGCAGCCCATGCCATGGTGGTTAAGACCGCTGAAATCGGGACCAGCAGTTAGCGTAATGGCTATGTCGCTGGACTCCCATGTAGTCAACCGCGGTTCGCGTCCTGGACCTGGTGGCTTAAAACTCACACCAGGTGCGTGTGTGTGCGTGCCCAAGATCCCGAGAGGAGAATGGAGGAGAAGGGATTGCGGCGTGGCCATCCCCCCCGAGGGGTGATTTCTTGCTTTCTGTCTCTCTGTCTCTTTCTGTCTCTCTCTCTCTGGGGAGCACATGCATCCTACAGCAAAAATCTATCTTTTAAAATTTTAAGAGTACAAAGCAAAAGACAGATATAGGATAAAACACCCGGGAGGAAGAGAAATCGCAGGCTGTCTCCCAAGAGCTACACAGAAACAGATCCCAGAGGGGCCCCCGTGGGTGGGCGGCGGGTAGCCAGCCTGGCCCAGGCGGCCCGGAATGGGGAAAACCATGGAATTCACCGCTGGGTGCTCCAGCAGAGAAAAGGGGAACTTCTTGTAACATGAAGACATTAATTAGAGACGGAAACCGGAAATGGCTTTTCAAGGCTCTTTCCAGGCTCCCTGTGGATTATTTGAAAATACTTTATCAAAAGCATAAATAGATGCCAAAGGGTCTAAACACAGACATCCCCAAAAGTCCCAGTTGTGGCTAAGCAGCCGGATAAAACATGGACCGAGTTCAACAGATCAACCCCCCAGTCCTGCTGTGCGCCAGGCCAGGGAGCTTCAAAGTGCAGACGTTGGGGGGTGGGAGGGCGGGAGTGGGCAGCGAGTGGCGCAGTGGTTAAGATGCTGGACTCCCACATGGTCAACCGTGGTTCAAGTCTCAGACCCGGCAGCTTGAGACTTACACTGGGTATATGTGTGCGTGCGTGCCCAGAATTCTGAGAGGAGAATGGAGGAGAGAGAAGGGATTGTGGCGTGGCTGTCCCCCCTGGGGGGTGGTTCCTCAGTTTCTGTGTCTCTGTCTCTCTCTGTCTCTCTGGTGAGCACATGTGCCCTATAGCAAAAACCTCTCTAAATAAATAAATAAATAAATAAATAAATAAAATCACACAAACTGCTTACATAGAAGGAAGAGCTCACAGGGGCCAGCAGGTGGCATGGTGGTTAAGGAGCTAGACTCCACGTGTTTGACCGCGGTTCAAATCCTGGACCTGGTGGCTTGCTTTCCCACTTCCCCTCCCTTTCTCTTGGTCTCTCGCCGGTCAAGGTAAAAATAATAATAATAATAATAATGAATGAATTAATAAAATGATGGAACCAGCAGATGGTGTAGCAGTTACGTTGCTGAACTCCCATGTAGTCAACCATGGTTCGAGTCCTGGACCCAGTGGTTTGAAACTCACGCTAGGCATGTGTGCATGTGCATGCCCAAGATCCCGAGAGGAGAATGGAGGAGAAGGGATTGCGGTGTGGCCATCCCCGCTGGGGGGTGATTTCTCGCTTTCTGTCTCTCTGTGTCTGTCTCTCTCTTGATCTGGCGAGTAGATGCACCCTAATGCAAACACCTCTTAAAATAAATGAAATGAAATGAGATAAATAATTATTTAAGAAGAAGAACTCAGGCCCTTGGGGATGTCCCAGGAACTGGGGGGCTGTCACAGACGGTTCCCCGTGAACACTGAGCCTACCTAATCTGAGTCCACAGAGGCGAATGGAACCCCGAGCACGCCCAAGAAGGACATGGGGACAGAAAGCGACACCTGCTGGAAGCCACGGTGTTTGCAGCCCTGAGACCTCCCACCCCACCCTGGGCCAGGGCCGGATGCAAGGAAGCCCCCAAGTTCATGTAAACCTACGAGCTCATTTTTCCCGGCAAGACAGGCAGGCAGCAGGGGGCCCAGATGGGGTCGGGGGAGGACCAGCAGGAGGTGCTGCCAGACGCCTCCCAAAGAGCCCCGGGAAGGAACCAGCATCACCCCGTATGTCCCCGGGACCTCTGCAAGTCTCAGAAAGCAGGCGGGGCAGGTCTGGAGCCTGCCCCAGGCCAGACTCTGTCTTCCCTGGCACGAGTGGGGACAGTGTGAGCAATGACATCTCCGTGTGGCACAAAGTGCACCCTCATGGTTCCATCCGGACCTTCATCCGACCAGCTTATGTCAAGTAACTGCTAATGTCCCCAGAGGGGTGGATGGTGGGCACGGCTGAGGCTGGGGTCGATCCCGGGGCCTGGCGGAAAGTAGGGGCCAGGCTGAGGGTGGGGAAGGGCAGAGTGGGGGCGATAGCAGGGGAGAGGGGAAGGGAGGGATCCAGACTGTTCCAGAGGGGAGGGATCGCCAGCCTCCATGGCCCGGCTGACCCCGACAGAGCAGAGGGCAAGGGTCCCGACCCAGTAAATGTGGCATATCATCTACTGAGTCACCGGCAGGCTCGGGGTGACAGAAACACTTACAGTTCTCTGCCGTTCCCCGACATTTTAAAGCCACCAAAGGGAGCCTGGGCGTATATGGCGTTGTAGCAGTTGATCCTAGAACGAAAGATGCCGCAGTTACCTGGGGAAGACCCACCTGCACGTCGGACGCTCCCCCTCCGGCCGCTGATGCAGGCTGCTGCCCCGGGAGTGGCCATCTGCCCAAGTTTCCTCAATGAAAATAGTGAGCTCTGGGGGCCAGCAGTTAGCGTAATGGCTATGTCGCTGGACTCCCATGTAGTCGACTGTGGTTCGAGTCCCGGACCCGGTGGCTTAAACTCACACCAGGCACGTGTGCGTGTGTGCCCAAGATCCTGAGAGGAGAATGAAGGAGAAGGGACTGCGGTGTGGCCATGCCCCCTGGGGAGTGATCTCTCGCTTTCTGTCTCTCTGTCTCTCCAGGGAGCTCACATGTCCTATAGCAAAAATCTCTCCCCAGAAATAAATAAATTAAATAATGAGCTGTTAATTTGTGCCTTGTCATTGCCATCAAAAACTGATATGTGGGGGCCAGTGAATCCCGCACGGCTGGCTGTATGGTTCAAGTCCCGGACCTGGTGGCTTGAAAACCACTGTGGGCACGTGTGTGTGTGTCTGTGTGCCCAAAATCCTGAGAGGAGAATGGAGGAGAAAGGATTGCGGTGTGAAAAAACCCCCTGGGGGGTGATTTCTCACTTTCCGTCTCTCTCTCTCTGTCTCTCTTTGTGGTAAGGCACTCACCCTATAGTAAAACAAAACAAAACAAAACAAAACAACTTACATGTGGGAGCAGCAGGCAGTGTGGAGGTTAAGGCACTGGATCCCACATGGCTGACCGCAGTTCGAGTCCCATACCCAGTGGCTTATAAATCATGCCAGGTGTTTGTGCGTGTGTTTTCAAAATCCTGAGAGGAGAATGGAGGAGAAGGGATTTTTTGGCATGGCCATGTGCCCTGGAGGGTGATTTCTCACTTTCCCTCTCTCACTCTCTCTGGTGCATGCACATCTCAATAGCAAAAAAAAAAAAAAAAAAAAAGAAGAAGCAAAACCAAAAACGAACATGAATATACTTACCTGTAGAGTTTTTCCCTGGAGTAGGAATAGAACTAGGTGAGGAAAAGAAGGTGAAAAACGTTGGCATGGAGAAATACGCATTAGCTTGAAAACGAGACAGAGCTGACCTTAAAGGTCTTCTGCTGCCTGGCTGTGTGATTCTGGTTTATTGCTCAACCTCTCTGGACCTCAGTTCATTTGCCTTTAAAGTGGGACTGACAACACCCAGCTTTGTTGGTGAGGCAGAGAGAGACTCATATCTATATTTTTGCAGATGAATAGGCATGGCCTTTAAAAATACTTATTTTTTTATTATTATTATTTTAATTTGCTTTTGGGTACATGTGCTCACCAGAGAGAGGGAGAGGGAAAGCAAGAAAGCAAACCTCCAGAGCCAGGACTCGAACTGCGGTTGGCCATGCAGGAGTCCAGTGCCTTAACCACTATGCCACCTGCTGGCTGGCTCCAGGTACTGCTTTTAGAATCAAAACCCAAGATAAAGGCAGAGGGGACAGCGGTCAGAAGAGTGGTCAAAGGTCCAGGCACCAGTTTGTTCTACCATGGGCTAGGTGTGTGACACTGGGTCACTCCGTCTCTCTGTGCCTCAATTTCCTCCTCTGTAAAACAGAGACATAGTGATACCTACCCTAGAAGGTGGGTATGAGGATCCAGCAAGCACTTAGACAGTGCCTGGCAGATAATAAACAATTAGACAATTAGAAGCTCCTTATTTATTTTTTGTTTTAATTGCCAGAGGGTCGGTGTATTCACACACACACACACACACACACCAAAAAGAAAGAAAGAAAGAAAGAAAAATAAAGGGAGAAAAGACCCCCTCTGGAGGGTGGTTACACCGCAATCCCCTCTCCTTCCATGTCTTTCAAGTCCCCAGAGCCAGGATTTGAACTGTGGATGGCCGTGTGAGATCCAGCTCCCTTAACCACTAACCTAAAAGGGCAGCCCAGAAGCTTTCTGTTAACAAAAAATGAATGAAACTCACACGCAACCCAGCAGAGCTGAAACACACCCATCTCGAACTCACCAAACCGTGCCCGCCTCTAAAGAAGAAGCCAACTTCAGGGCTTTGTCGAGGTTTTTGGTGAACACGGCCGCCGTGAGTCCGTAGTCTGTGCTGTTAGCTCTTCGGATCACTTCTTCGATCGTTTTGAACTTCAGTATTGGCTGTACTGGCCCGAAAATCTGTTGTTAATGGCAAGAACTGGCAGTGAGAAATTTACAAGGAAATGTACACGCAGAGCATTTCCCGGAGGGCACATGCGCACAAGAAAAGCTAGCTAGAGGAGACAGAGTGTGCGAAGATTTTTTTTTTTAGCCGAGCGATGGTTGACATCTGCAGGGAAAAAGGTGAATGAAACAATAGTAAAAATTAACAGTACAAAAATACGTCGCATCCGGGCCAGTAGGTGGCGTGGTTGGTTAAGGCACTGGTTGGCCACAGTTGGCCAAGGTACCATCTTTAAAAAAAGGCTGGTGTAGGGCCAGTAATTGGCGTAATGGCTATGTCGCTGGACTCCCATGTAGTCGACTGTGGTTCGAGTCTCGGACCCAGTGGCTTAAACTCATGCTGGGTGCATGTGTGCACGTGCCCAAGATCCTGAGAAGGGAATGGAGGAGAAGGGATTGTGGTGTGGCCATCTCCCTGGGGGGGGATGTCTCGCTTTTTGTCTCTCCATTTCTCTCTGTCTTTCTGGCAAGTGCCCTATAGCAAAAACCTCTTAAAAAAAAAAAAAAGACAGAGAGGAGGCCAGCAGATGGCATAGCAGTTATGTCACTGAACTCCCACATAGCTGACAGCAGTTCGAGTCCCAGACCCAGTGCCTTGAAACTCATACTGGGTGCTTGTGTGTGAGCGCACATCTCAGGAGGAGAAAGGATTGTGGCATGGCCATCCGCCCAGGGGGTGATTTCTCATTTTCCCTCTCACTGTCTCTGTCTTTCTGTCTCTCCAGTGAGTGCACATGCCCTAAGGCAAAAATGTGTAAAAAAAAAAAAAAAGAAAGAAAGAAAGAAAAAAAGGGCAGAAAAAAAGCCAAAGGCTGAAACAGTGATTCAATGTTGGACAGGCTTGTAACCCTGCAAGATGGGGTCCAGACTCTTGAAATACCTACTCAGGTTTCTCGGGCCCTTTGGTCACAGAATGTTTAAACAGCTAAGCTCTGTATCAGTACAGCATGGTTAGCAAATCCATAATAATTTCTAGGACAAAGTCTATTAAACACCCACACCAGGAAGCCCTCGGTGGTGACTCACTCTCCCCATGCCCCCTCAGGCTGTCTCCCCGAGTCCAGTCACTGGGTTGGTTACAAATCAGCTTATAAATCCTATGCAGAAAGCAGTTTCCACCTGGGTAATAGCAGGATCGAAAGATGCAGTTAGATTTGCACACTTTGAGGGTGTTCATAATCTCCATTATTTCCAAGGAAGCCCAGATGTGAAACGTCTTTGAGGATTCAAGCTGCAGCTTGTCCCTTGAACAAGCTCTTGTGTGTTTATTTTGAGAGTTTTTTGCTATAGGGTGTATGCGCTCGCTGGAGAGACACAGAGACAGAAAGTGAGAAATCACCTTCCAGGGGGGATGGCCACACCACAATCCCTTCTCTCCCATTCTCCTCTTGGGATTTTGGGCACACACGCACACACATGCACCCAGTGTGAGTTTTAAGCTGTCAGCTTCAGGACTTGAACTGCAGTCGACCACGTGGGAGTTCAATGCCTTAACCATTACATCACCTGCTGGCCTCAGGAGCACTTAAGTTCAGTCTCGGGGCACTGAAGGCAGTTTGGGCCCTGAATCCACAACTCAATTCCTGGTACAACCCACAGGTGGCAAAAACTCTCCACTCTGGGCTGGAGAGTAACTCAGGGATGTGTTAGAACAGTGGTTGCCAATGTTTTTGGTGCAAAGAACTGTTTTCATGGAAGACATTTTTCCACAGACCAGGGGGTGAGGGGTGGGGTGCATTCTGACTTAAAGCCTGCCACCAGATGGAGCTTCGTTGTCACTTCCCACTCACTGATAGGGTTTCAATACGAGTCTACAGGCAATGGATTTATTACCGTCTCTGTGCAGCCAAACCTGTCTGCTAATGTTACTCAGTATCTGCAGCTATTCCCCAGTGCTAGTATCACGACCTCAGCTCCACCTCCGATCATCAGGCACTAGATTCTCATAAGGAGTGCACAACCCAGATTCCTCACATGCTCAGCTCACAGGAGGGTTTGTGTTCCTATGTGAATCGAATGCCACCCCTGACCTGAGAGGAGGTGGAGCTCAGGCAATCATGTGAGCAATGGGGAGTGACTGTAAATACAGGTGAAGCTTCCCTTGCTTGCCCACTGCTCACCTCCTGCTGTGTAACCCAGTGTTCCTAACAGGCCATGGACTGTACTGATGGGTGGTTCAGGGGTGGTATTAGAAGACTGGAGACTGGGACCAGCAGTTAGCATAATGGCTATGTCGCTGGACTACTACGTAGTCGACTGCGGTTCGCGTCCCAGACCCGGTGGCTTAAACTCACGCCGGGCACGTGTGTGTGCGTGCCCAAGATCCCAAGAGGAGAATGGAAGAGAAGGGATTGCAGCATGGCCATGCCCCCTGGGGGTGATTTCTCACTTTCTGTCTCTCTGTCTCTCTCTGTCTGTCTGGTGAGCACACGCACCCTAATAGCAAAACCTCTCAAAAGAAAAAAAAAAAAAAGAAGAAAAAGACTGGAGACTTTTTCTTGCTCCAGAGAAACCAGGAGTGACTACTGTGCATAGTCCTTAGGACTTGCCTGAGGCAGCAGGCAAGATCACTTCTCTAAGGTCCCCAAAGAAGAGGGGAGAGGACACCAGAAAAAAGGAAAATACTCACCCCCCCAAAGACTTGTGGGATCCTTGAGCCCTAGAGGAGCTCTATTTACAAGACCCAGCCCAACAGAAGTTAAGCATAAGCCTCCCACCCCCCGGCTATGGCTACGGTCCCCACACACCTCCTCTTTGGCAATCCGCATGCTGTCGGTAACTTCCGAGAAGACCGTGGGTTGGATGAAAAGCCCCCTGTCTTCCATGGCTGAGCCTCCACACTCCAGTTTGGCCCCTTCCTTTTTCCCACTCTCGATCAGGTCGAGGATCTTATTGAACTGCTTTTGATCAATCTGCAAAACACACATAGAAAGCACAGCCCGCAGTTAGTGTAATGGCTATGTCGCTGGACTCCCATGTAGCCGACCACGGTTTGAGTCCCGGACCCGGTGGCTTAAACTCACACCAGGCACGTGTGCGTGCGTGCCCAAGATCCCAAGAGGAGAATGGAGGAGAAGGGATTGTGGCATGGCCATTCTCCCTGGGGGGAGATTTCTCGCTTTCTATCTTTCCGGCGAGCGCATGCGCCCTATAGCAAAGACTTCTCCAAAAAAGAAATACAAAAAGAAAGTACAGCCCGGCTTCCTTCTGGGCAGGGGCTGACAGCTTAGTGTTCCAGCGGCCTTTAACCTGCTCCAATACCATGCCCTACACTGAGTGTCCTTTCCAAGCCACCATGTGTGTCATGGATGTGCCTTACAGGCAAATAGCTCCCCATGCACAAACCTGGGCTCTCTGGAGCCGGGAGGGACAAAACCAGGATGCCCAGTTAAAGTTGAATTTTAACACACATGATTTCTTTTTTAGTGTAAGTATATCCCAAATAGGACTTGGGATATACTTACACTTAAAGTGTATTCCTTGTTTATGTGAAATTCTGACCTAAACGGGTGCCATATAATTGACCTGGCAACAGAAAGACAGAAAGCGAGAAATCGCCCCCCGGGGCGGATGGCCATGTCCCAATCCCTTCTCCTCCATTCTCCTCTTGGGATTTTGGGCACACACACACACTCACACACACACACACATATGCACCCAGTGTGAGTTTTAAGCTGCCGGGCCCAGGACTTGAACTACAATTGACCATGTGCCCTGCTCACTTGGTGCAAAATATAAAAACAAAAAAAAGGGGGGGGAAGTATCTCTTTGGGGACTTGAACTATGGTCAATTAGGTGGGAGTCCAGTGACATAAACATCACACCATCTGCTGGTCCCATATCTTCCTGCTCCTCATTGACAGACAGCCATCCAAATGCACTGGTGGGGTTGTTTATTTTCTTATTTAAGGTGGTTGGAATAAAATCAGTCTTCCTATCTAAATGACTCAGCTACCTAAACACTGAAGCTTGTCTCTTGCAGCCAAACAGGTGGGGGACTATCACCAGGGCACGATTAAGAACAAGGGTCTCCCCACTTCCAGGAAGCGGAACCAGTACAGGAGGGTGGAGGGGGCAGAAAGGGCACTTTCCCCTTCAAAAAGTCCCCCAAAGGGATACTCCTCCTCCTTTTTTCATGTAAGAGAAATAGATGCGAAGTAAGTACACATTTGATAGAAAAGAAAATGCAAACGGCTTGTAAACATACAGTTAGATGTTTGACCTCAGTCATCATGAGAGATAGATGCATATTAAAACTAAAAAGTGGGAGGGACCAGCAGTTAGCGTAATGGCTATGTCACTGGACTCCCATGTAGTCGACCGCGGTTTGCGTCCCGGACCCGGTGGCGTCTCACACCAGGTGCATGTGCATGCATGCCCAAGATCCCGAGAGGAGAAGGGATTGTGGCGTGGCCATCCCCCCTGGGGACTGATTTCTCGCTTTCTGTCTCTCTGTCTCTCTCCGTCTTTCTGGTGAGCACATGCACCCTATAGCAAAAACCTCTCCCAAATAATAATAATAATAATAATAATAATAATAATAATGGAGACTAAGAGATGATGTAGTGGTTACATCGCTGGACTCCCACATAGTCGCCCATGGTTCTGTCCTTGCTTTAAACTCACACTAGGTGCATTTGTGTGCGTGCCCAAAATCTCAAGAGAATGGAGGGGAAGGGATTGCAGCATGACCACTCCCTGCTGGGGAGAGGAGCAGGATTTTTCACTTTCTGTCTGTCTGTCTTCCTCTGTCTCTCCAGCAAGCGTATGTGCCCCATAGTAAAAATCTCTTGCAAAGAAAAATCAATTGCAATGGATCAGGCTCGTTTCTGATCTCAAACTCCCCTCCGTCTTGGGTTAAAAGCTCTGGGTGTTGCCAAACCTTTTTCCTGTGACTCTCCAAGCAGGCTGGAGGCCCTGCACCAAACTTGGGGGCCTGAATGGCTGCTGACCAGGGTCTATCTGACAGATGCGTCCTTTTGCAAGCCAGCACTGCATCTCCATGGGAACCCTAGCCACGCAAACTGAACTCACCCTGGAACACATTGTTTCAATCTAACCATCCTCTATCAAATGTCAGCTGGTGCCTAAAGGTACAGGAAGAGGGGACCCGCCAGGAAGCGAGATGACTGCGCAGGCGCAATACCAGCTACAGGGAAATACAGTCCCTAAAGAACTGGCCCCAGGCGCTCTCTGCTGGAAAGGTGCTGCCGGATCCTGCCCCGGCCAGGTGGCCTGCCTAATGTTTACGCACGTCATTGCTCCTTGCTCCGTGGCCAAGTAAACCTGGTAGATTTGGGAGCATTCCGGCGTGCAGGGGACAGCGATCCATTTAGGTCAGCGCGGTGTTTTCCAGGAGAGAGGCAGCAGGACTATTTAGACAGCTGTAAGTCCTCTTGGGGTAAAATTTTATTACCGTAGATGAAAAAGCACTTAGGAAGGGGAGGGGAAAAAAAGCCAACAGCGTCCTATAATAATCTGCTGAGGTTAGACCGCTTAAGTGAGCTTTCGCAAGGACCCAAGGACTGTTAGCAGCTGCGTAAAAGCGCGGATGCGATCAACACCCCGGTTCTGCACGGATCTGCGCGCTTAAAGAGCTTGGTGGGTCTGGCTTCTTCAGTCAAGGTGGGAGCCTTAAGAGGCCGGTAGGTGGCGTAGTGGTTAAGGGTGCTGGATTCCCACATGGTTGACTGCGGTTCAAGTCCTGGACCTGGCAGCGTTCTTTCCCACTTTCCCCTTCTCTCTCTCTCTCTGTCCCTCTCTGATCAAATTAAAACAAATAAATAAATAAAGTTAAATAAAACAATTCTTTAAAATAATAAAAAAAAAAAGAGACAGGGTCCTTGGGACCAGCAGTTGGCATAATGACTGTGTTGCTGGACTCCCATGTAGTCGACTGTGGTTCACGTCCCGGACCTGGAGGCTTAAACTCACGCCAGGCGCGTGTGCCTGTGTGCCCAAGATCCCGAGAGGAGAATGGAGGAGAAGGGATTGTGGCGTGGCCATAGGTGATTTCTCACTTTCTATCTCTCTGTCCCTCTGTCTTTCTGGCGAGTGCACGTGCACTATAGCAAAAAAAAAAAAGAAAAAAGAAAAAAAAATGATAGTAATAATAAATAGAATTAATAAAATATTTTTAAAATCATGGTACTCTCTAGTGAGTACACTTGCCTTATGGCAAAACCTAAAGAACAAAAACAAAAATAAAAATACATAACTACTTAAATAAAAGCTTCCCTTATTGACTGCTTCCTAGGTGCCATGAAATTGTTTTCTTTTTTCTTTTTTTGGAGAGGTGTGTGCGCTCGCGAGACAGACAGAGAGAGACAGAGAGACAGAAAGCGAGAAATCGCCCCCTGGGAGGATGGCCATGCCGCAATCCCTTCTCCTCCATTCTCCTCTCGGGATCTTGGGCACGCACATACACACACCTGGTGTGAGTTTAAGCCACCGGGTCCAGGATTCGAACCGTGGCCGACTACATGGGAGTCCAGCAACATAGCCATTATGCTAACTGCTGGTCCCAAGGCTACCCTCTTTTGAGTATGCATCCTTCTGCATCACCTCCTAGTTAGTAAGAATGTGATACTTCTTATTGATGTAAGAATGTGAAGGTATTTTTTATAACTATTTATTTTATTGTATTGATTCATTCATTCATTTTAATTTGACCAGAGAGAGAGAGACAGAGAGAAAGAGAGAAAGCAAGCCGCCAGGTCCGAGACTTGAACCATGGTCGGCCCTGTGGGAGTGTCCAGTGCCCCGACCACCACGCCACCTTCTGGTCCCCAAGAATGTGAGGGTATTAATTCTCATGGTCGTGGTCATTTTTCAGCCTGTCCTCACCAGACCTGCAGATGAACATTACCGCTGTCTGCACATGCATCCCCAGTCCCAAACCTTTTCCATATGGAATGCTTTGGTTTCCTTTCGTTAGAGAGATTTTTGCTATAGGTCGTGTGTGCTCGCCAGACAGAGAGAGACAGAGAGAGTGGGAGTGAGAAATCCCCCCCCAGGGGGGATGGCCACGCCGCAATCCCTTCTCCTCCATTCTCCTCTCGGGATCTTGGGCACGCACGCACATGCGCCCGGCGTGAGTTTAAGCCACCGGGTCTGGGATTCAAACTGCAGTCGACTACGTGGGAGTCCAGTGTCTCAACCACCACGCCGCCTCTTGGCCCCTCCTTCTTTTTTTAATTTGGCAGAGGGTGTGTGCCCTGCTGCAGAGAGACAGAGACAGAGACAGTGAGAAAGCAAGAAAGTACCCTCGAATGGGTGTGGCCATGCTGCAATCCCTTCTCCATTCCTCCTTCCATGTGGGAGTTCTGGGAATGCATGCCAGGCACGTGTGCATGCATGCATGCACAAGATCCCAAGAGGAAATGGAGGAGGAGGGATTGCAGCATGGCCACCCCCCTGGGGGGTGATTTCTTACTTCTTCTCTCTCTCTGTCTCTCTCCAGTGAGCACATATTCCTGGTGGTAAAAATAATCTAAAAAAAACCCAAAAAACAAAAAACCACAACATGTTTCTCAAACCAAGGTCCATCAAGTGAATCTGGCTCCCTTAACCATTAGGCTACAGGGCCAGCCCCCATTCTTTTTTTTAAAGAGATGTCTGTTTTAGGGTGTGTGTACTCACCCGAGACAGAGACAGAGACAGTGAGAGAGGGGAAGTGAGCAATCACTCCCTTGGGGGTATGGCCGTGCTGCAATCCCTTTTCCTCCATTCTCCTCCTGGGATCCTGGGCATGCATGCACACATGTCTGGCATGCTTTTCAAGCCACCGGGTCCAGGACTCGAACCGCGGTCAGCCAAGCCATCTGCCAGCTTCCCGGTTTCTTCTTTGAGAGGGACCCTGCACGGTTCCACGCTTTGGCCCCGGCTCGCCCTCAGCTGAGCAGGACAGGTTGAGACCCAGCTGCAGGTTACCTGGGGGCCCTGCTCCGTCCGGCCGTCGAAGGGGTCTCCCACGGGCCGCTTCCTGGCGTACTCCACGCTGCGCCTGACGAACTCGGCGTAGACCGGCTCCTCCACGAATACCCTGGACGCGGCTGTGCAGCACTGGCCTTGGTTGAAGAACACT